TATATATATTCAAAATGACTTATAAGAAAACTGACTTTGACACCTTGAAATCGGGCCTCTGTCTCTTTAAGAAGCTCCTGCTCTTTCTGAAACTCTGCCTTCAGGAAGTCATGACAACATGGCTCCTCTATTAACCCTTTAACGTCTTTACCAGTGTTGCACTGAGAAGTAGCTCCTGTAATGAGCTCAGCAGCTGTTCGGTTTCACTGAGTGTTTGCTAATTGCTGCTGGCTAGTCTTAAGGAGTGGAGTTAGGGAGTTACAGAAGAGAGCTGCTCTGTGAGGCGGAAGCTCAGAAAGTGAAGCTCCAAGGAGGAGCTGCGCCACGAAGGCGGAGCTAGGTCCACCCAGGTTTTAGCACAGCTGAATGGTTGCCATGGGAGATTAAAGGATTTCTCAAACATGCATGAAACAAACAAAGCAACACTCCAGGTATGTTTTTGATGAGAGAACGACATTATAACTTAGTAAGACTTAAAAACATCAATTTGACATAATACTGCCTCTTTAATGAAAACCAGTGTAACTTTAACATTACTAAGTGTGCAGTTTAGGGAAAATTGTATAATTTCTCATTCGTTTCAGACTCTGATCAGGTCTGAGTCGGTTGTGCATACATGATGGTGTGTCCAGAGTCCTGCCGCCCATCAGATGTGACTGTTAATTCATTTTGTGAGCGTCTCATTCCCCCCCCCCTCCACCAGTCCCCCATAATGTCGACACCTCCTTCCCATCCCTGCGACGCGCCAGGCGCTGGTAATTGGTCACAGAGGGGACAGTAAATCTACAGGAGGACGGAGGCGAGATACAGCGACAGACAGGAAGAGACGGAGGGAAAGAGCCTGCACGCTTGTTTGCAGGGAGAGGTAGGTAGTGGAGGACAGAAGGTGGGTGTCTTTCATCTTCACAGCTTTTTATTTAGCAACCTCCAACTGTTTACAAGCGCTGACGCCTATTTGCACACACACAAAACTTGCGTTACATTTCTACACGGTAAATCCCCAACACCACCACCAACATATATATACAGTAAATGACCTCAGCGCTGCCGTCTGAGAGAGCGGATTGTAATCAGACAGCACTGTGTCTGTCAAACGAGCCCAAGGTTACTTAACCTTCCAGTCCTAATTTCCCTTTCCATTTTAGCTCCTTCCTCCATATCAAACATCAGCACATCTATGAGAGCCAAAGAAGAAGAAGAAAAAAAAAAGAAGAGGAAGAAGAAGAGAAGGGAAGAGCGCAGGAAGGAAAATGAAGATTGCCATGCTTGGCTGAAGCTCGGAGATGAAAGTAGAGGATGATTCACTTTGCTATTGCAAAATGAACTGAAGCAAGCTGAGCCGAGCTATTTTTAAACTTCTGTACGCCGCAACAACCGGGAGAGGACGGCGTGAAGCGTCGGAATTCATTTCTGTATCACGAGAGACGATATTCCAGGAAGACGCCAGACACATCATGTCGGTCTCGACAAACTTTGGCTTATTTTAAAGGGATCTGTATAATTAACCACCAAAGAGACAGGAAGCAGAAAACAATACGCAGGATGTCTTTATGTCTTTTCCAATCTTCTCGATCAGACTGGATGGAGAGCATCCTGTCCTGACACAGCAATTTTCAAGCATTTCTAAGGACTCTCAATTGGAATTTAAGTCAAAACTTTGACTGGATCACTTTAGAATGAAGATGCTCTGATCTAATTCTAGCAGGTATTTGGCAGATGGATGCATTTTTTTGTTCTGCTACCTCAGACTCAAGTATTTTGCATCCTCTAACATCCAGTATTCAGCTCCACCCGTCTTCCCACCAACTCTAACCAGCATCCCTCTCCATGCTATAGAAAAACATTCCCCCAGCATGATACTGCCTGTTGCCACAATTCTGTCAAACTGGAATGTGATGTTTAGGGTTCTCTGCAGGGTTAGTGTAGATGAGCTTTACTTCATGTTATGTCGTTCCCTCATCAAAAACACACCTTAAGTTTTGCCATGATTCTTTCATGCATGTTGGAGAAATCATTTAATCTCTCATTGCAACTATTCAGCTGTGCAAAACCTTTTCAATTATTTCTCATTCATTAAAAAGGTTTCTGGATTCGTCTTAATTTGGTGGCGAATAGAACCAGAAATGTTCAGAAGCTTTAACTCTGAAGCAGGTTTCTGTGAAAGAATCAGTCGACCCAAAAATCCTTCTGTGTGTGTAGATCATTTTTCTACAAACGGCCGACCTATTTGTATGTTTCAATAAAATCTTATCCTGTTAGTTTGGCATTGAGAAGACACGACTAAAAGCTGTCCCAAAAAATGTGTTTTTCTGTATTTATTTAAAAAACTTTTTCTCTGGTTTGCACGTTTTTTGGCCCTTATAGAAAAACCACCTGGTCTATCATGTAAGATCCAAATAAAATGTACTGGAGTTTGTTGTGATGTCACACAATGTGAAAAAAAGGTGCAATTTTGGTAAATAATGAAAATGGCAGCACTAGGGTTGAGAGCAAACAGCAGTAATATTGTGGTTTTTAACCTTCGTTTACCATCTGACATCAGCTGAGTGACATTAAAAACCAACTAGAAACGATGTGGTAAATGTATGAATCAGTAGAGCTGAGAGGGGGAAAGGCTTTCTCTGACCTTCAGGGTCCACAGGCCTCGCGGCTCCTCCCCCCAGCAGTGCAGCGTCATCAGGGTCCAGTTCTTCAGGCCAGCAGCCGAGGCGTCGTTGGGCCGGGTGTCCAGCAGCAGAGACACCGTGCCGCCCGGAGACTCCAGACTTATGGAGAGGTCGCCGCGACACGGCGCCGAAATACTCACTCTCACCTAGAAGGAGAAGGAAGGAACAAGTGGAGAATAGAGACATTATTTAGAAAAGATACACGTAGCTGTAGGATGTCAGAAATAAAGCTTAGGAGATTTTCTTCAAGCCTTATATTTGAAAAGTTTCCCAGCAAAGGCCAACTACGTCTAAACGTTATGTTCATTTTTATTTACTACATCTGTGTTTTGCATCAGTAAATATTTGAAGTTTACAGTGAGCTCTTGCTAATTTGCGACTCAGTATTCATGGATTCGCCCATTTTTCAATTTTTCTGTACAACATAACTTCAAATTCACATTTTAATTTTTTTTTACAGAACATATCCAAAATATTCAAACAAACAATGCAGGTCTGGAAACTGAAATACTTTGGAACACTACTTGACACACTATTGGCTGGCATTTGCACAACGGCCAATCATCAATTTCCTTGGCACTGATTGGCTGTAACCCAAACAACACAGATAAGGAAGACTGTAGATCCTACTTCTGC